ACTGTTGCCAAATAGTGCTATTTGCGGGACCGTTATCAACAAAAACGAGCGTAATCACGACCTATTTCTTTGATTTAAACCCCCCCCCCCCAACTTTTCAGATATAGTGAACGTAAAAATTCCCGACTTTTCCTTGAGTTTTCAGTGTTTTCTTCGCATGTTTTCTCATAAAAAGTCTAATTATAATCAATTATTCTGAGCGCAAAGCACAAATTGCACAAAATTCATCGGTCGTGTTTAACGCGATTGTCTTTGAATTTCAACTTAATCATTCGCGTGTCATTAAAGAAACAAAAATTATAAATAATTAAATATATGATTAATAGGCACATTATGACGTGAATGACGCACTTACGATTTAAGCATCCCTCGGTTTTTACTTATGCGTCATTAAAGTAGGCTACAGGGCCTCCACTCCTTACATTTCACAAAATATTAGAGAAAGTGTAGGAAATGTGGACTTTTTCCACCTTCCGCTATTTAAAAATGCATTTTCAAACTGTGGAAACTCAATTGGCGTTCGTATTTGCATAACGAGAAATAAATATCCGGTTGTTTACGTAATTGCTCGCTTGAATTCCATGGGTTATTCACGTATTGCAAGTTCTGCGCCGATACGTTTTCCCTTTCTTGCCATTGGCTCCTTCAGTTATGTAGGAGATGAGTCCATAAGCAATGAAATTTCAAACTCCGATCATATCAGATTAGCTTATCTGTTTTTGATCCAGTTTTGCTTTATTTCCTCTATTTTTTAAGTCAGGCAGAACGATTGTCGTGAGCACATTGGGGACATGAACATCTTTTCATCTTTTTAATATTATTTTTTTAATTTTTTGACAAGACTGTTAACCCCCTCCCCTCCATTTTCTTTTCTAAAAACTGGCTCCTTCATTATTTATTTAATCGAAATTTCTTCGTCATTTCTCTTGCTAAGCAATTTGATCTTCGAAGAATGGAGATGTTGCAAAGGTGNNNGGGGGGGGGGGGGGGGGTTCACAATCGGCAGAGCTCAGTCTGAAATTAGATACGATTCACCATACTGGTTTCCACTCGAAGTTCCGTCATTTCTATGGTTATGCTATCGATCTCCGGGGAGGTAACATAGAAGTTTTAATGGGGAGGGAACTTCGAAAAAGTTCTTGGGGTTAAGGCAATTATTTTCGTCCTTGATTGGACTAACACAGAAAGATTCACTTAATATACTGCGTATGATAACGATAGGTAGATAGGTCGCGAATCCAGAGCTATCGTAGCACGAGGACAAACCGACAAACGAATCAGTTGATTTCAAAAGGGAACAGGAACAGCGGAACAAGTCTATTTTTGCATGAGCCTTGGCTTGCAAAAAAGGGCATGCTAACCAAGACTCATCGATGAATGGACCTGTTCCCTTTTGAAAACAAGAGATTCAAACAGTAATTCACCAGTTCAGCGAAGTCCAAACTTCTACATTTCCTCTGTCTGGTGAAAATTTTAAGGTCCCTCTCTGTGATGGAAACTGTAAGTTTTCTCTTCGAAGAGAAACTTGAAAATGTGGTACATTCACAATTTGCAAGCTTTTTATATGCGAGAGAAATCATTTGTGAGCCGAATGGGCCACTAGATAAGGTACGAATTTCAGCATTCTGATACATGTTTCTTAACCAAAATTTTACGTAAAACACGATGCACACAACGAAAATTACCGAAATTAACTCCTTACGAAGATATTTAATGATTCTTAATGCGTGAATTCAAACCACCCGCTCATGAAAACTCAATG